TCTCCTTAGTAGACTGCTTGATTTGAAGACCAAGAAAGAAAGTCAGTTCTCCCATCATACTCATCTCAAATTCTCCTTTCATGGAAAGAGCAAATTCTTCACAAAGAACAGAGTTAGGGCTGCCAAAAATAATATCATCTACATAGATTTGAGTAATATGATTTCCTGAACTGGAGTGCTTAATAAAAAGAGTTGTATAGATATTACCTCTTTTGAACCCTTGATTTAGAAGAAAAGAACTTAACCTTTCATACCATGCACGGGGGGCTTGTTTGAGACCGTACAAATCTTTAGTCAACTTGTATACATGATTAGAAAAGGTGACGTTTGCAAATCCGGGTGGTTTCTTCACATATACTTCTTCAGAGATGTAGCCATTTAGGAACGCACTTTTAACATCCATTTAAAATAGTTTGAATCCTTTGTGAGCAGCAAAAGCAAGTAATATTCGTATGGATTCAAGTCTTGCTACAGGCGCAAAGGTTTCATCGTAGTCGATTCCTTCTTGTTGAGAGTAACCTTGAGCAACCAGTCTTGCTTTATTTCGAGCCACTTGACCTGATTCATTCAATTTGTTTCTGAAAACCCACTTAGTTCCAATGATAGAGAAGTTTGGAGGTCTTGGAACCAATTCCCATACTTTATTTCTTTCAAATTGATCTAGTTCCTCTTTCATAGCACTTATCTAGTGAGTATCTTTGAGAGATTAATCCACTTTCTTTGGCTCAAATTGGGAAATAAGAGCTACATGAGATTTGTTCTTTTGTGACCTTCTTGTAGTGATTCTTTCCCGTGGATCTCCTATAATGAATTTGTGAGGATATCCCGGTTCACTTTTCCATTCATTTGGAGTGTTTGAGGGAGGTTCTCTTTCTTCAGTAGTCGACTGATCTGCTTGAGGCAGTTTGAGATCTTCTGTGGGTACTTCAGCTAGTTGAGTTTGTTGAACAACTGACTCATTTTGATGATCATTTCCTACAATAACGGATTTAGGGACACAAGAATCCTCATTTTCAGGAGTTTGTTCATTCCTTGGGCGAGGGTTAGTATCAACAAAAATAATATGAATAGATTTTTCAATGCACAAAGTTCTTTTATTGTAGACTCTGTATGCTCTACTTGAAGGAGAGTAACCAAGAAATATACTTTCATCACTCTTAGGATCAAACTTGGATCAAACTTACCTAAATTATTTTTTCCATTGTTGTGGATAAAACATTTGCATCCAAAAGGGTGAAAATAGCTGATATTTGGTTTCTTACAATTCCACAGCTCATACAGAGTCTTTTTCAGAATTGGTCGAGTCAGACACCTATTGATGATGTGGCATTATGTACTCACAACGTCTGCCTAGAAATGATGAGGAAGAGAGTTTTTCACAATCATGGTTATTTCCATGTCCTGTAAAGTTCTATTTTTACGCTCTACTACTCTATTTTGCTGCGGTGATCTTGGTGAAGAGAAGTTGTGAGAGATTCCTTGATCGTTGCAAAAAATTTCAAAAGCTCTGCTTTTAAATTCTCTTACATGATCACTCCTGATAGTAGAGATGTAGTATCCCTTTTCTCGTTGAACCTTCTTACAGAAAACTTCAAAATTCTTTAGAGCATCATCTTTTTGACTTAGAAACATAACCCAGGTAAATCTAGAGAAATTATCTACAATGACAAATGCATATTTCCTACCACCTATGCTAGTAGTTCTAGTAGGACCAAATAAATCCATATGCAATAATTGAAGAGGTTTGGAGGTGGAAACAATGTTTTTAACTTTGAAAGAAGAACGCGTTTGTTTTCCTAGTTGACATGCATCACAGATATGATCTTTTGAAAAATCTAGTTTTGGAAGTCCAATTATAAGATCATGTTTAGAAAGTTTTTGAATAGTATGCATGCTGGTATGACCAAGTTTTCTATGCCAAACCCAGGGATCATCAATCATGGAAGTAAGACAAATTTGATCCCTAAGATTTTCTAAGTTACTCATCGTATAGACATTTCTGTCTCTGTTACCTGAAAGAATGATTTTACCTAATTCATCTTCTATAAACCAGCCATCTTTCTTAAAACGAACCTCATAGTCATTGTCACATAGTTGACTTATGCTTAGAAGATTATAGCCAAGTTCATCAACCAGGTAGACTTCATCTACATCACATGTTGAGATTAGAGGAACTTTTCCAACACCAATTATATATCCTTTGGATTTGTCTCCAAAAGTAACGGTTCCTCCATCTAGTTTGGTGACTGATTTGAACAATTATTTGTCACCAGTCATATGTCTGGAACACGCGCTGTCGAGATACCATTTTCCTTTTCGATTCTTCTTGCGGTGTTCCTGCAAAACAAAATTACTTATTTTTAGGTACCCAAGCTTGCTTGGGTCCTGAATGGTTAGAATGCTGAGTGTTAGTTTGATTTGAAGATTTAGGTCTCCAAACCCATCTCCGGTTATCTTTGAACCTACAATGATTTGAGGTATGACCTATTTTACCACAATAAAAACATGATGGACTGTTAGAGTTACCAGAGCCTCTTTCTGCTCTAATTTCGTTCCTGTATTGGTTAGTACTATGGCCATTTTTACCACAAAAGGAACAAGTAGAAATTTTCTGTTTGTGATGAACAGTCTGATTTGATTTGATTGAGCTGTGACTCATGGATTTTTGTAATCCATTTAATTGAAGTTGAAGTTTATTTACTTCATCATGTAGCATATCACGCTCAATCTCACATACTTCTAGTTTCAAGGCCCAGTCTTTCTTTTCTCTCTTGATTCTTCTAAGTTCATTCACGACTCTTTCTATATCTGCAAGAGTAATATAAACAAATTCTTGGAGTTTATAACAATTAGAGCATAAGGGAGTACGTACCTTACTAGTTCCTTTGTCCGCCATGAGATCAAGTTCTCTTGAGTCGTCTTCCTCATCATTGTTGTCTGCCATTAGTCCAAGGTCTTCTGAATCTTCATTTTCATTCATAGCCATGAAACATATGTTAGCAATTTCCTTATGATCAGACTCTTCTTCATCACTCCATGCTCCGAAGGATTTCATCTTTTGCATGTTTCTGCTGAGTTTCTTTTTTAGTTCCGGACAATCAGCTAGAATGTGACCAAACTTTTCACATTGGTAGCACCTTCAATCATTTTTATCAGCTTCATTGCTTATCCTTCCTTTCCTGAAGTTAGGCTTCCCTCTTCTACTATTCCTATTTTTCCTCATCATGCTTGTTAAAATTTGAGAGAGCATGGCAATTTTTTCGTCTTGTTCTCCTCATCCTTCTTCCTCTTCATTTTCTGGTTTAGCCACAGTTGCCTTAAAAGCAACAGTTTTCTTCTTCTCTTGAATTTGTCTATCTAAGTGAGTTTTTTCAAAAGCAATTAGATCACCTCTGAGTTCATCATAGGATATTTTGTCTAGATCTTGACATTCCAAGGCGATAACTTTTGGCTGCCAAATGGTGGGTAAGCTCCTGAGAATCTCTCTAACCTGTTCACCACTCTTGATAGGTCTACCAAAAGATTTCAGATCTCCAAGAATTTTGCTAAATCTGGAGAACATCTCGTCCACTGATTCTCCATCCTTCATTTGGAATAACTCGTAGTCCCGAACCAGAAGATTTATCCTAGTTTATTTCACTTTGTTGGTTCCTTCGTAAGTAACCTACAGTTTGTCCCATATTTCTTTGGCCGTTTCACAACTTGATATCTTTTCATACTCTTCTGCACTGATAACATTGTACAATAGATTTTTTGCTTTGGCATTTACAGTTATGACAGCAGCTTGTTCATCAGTGTAATCATCCAAGTCCAGAAGATCAGTTGATACGATGACTTGACCATTTGCATCCTTCTTAGGAGGGATTGGAAGATTTTCCTTTTTGATCACACGCCAAACTTTGATGTCATAAGACATTGTGTAAGTTTCCATGCGTACTTTCCAGTGAGAAAAATGCTGACCATTGAAATAAGGAGGTCGAACCTGAGAGGTTCCTTCTTGAAATAGAGCACCAACAACAGTGTTAGATCCCATGATCTTTTTCTCACAAGCTGTTAAGCAAAGATTGTGAGCCTTGCTCTAATACCAATTGAAAGNGCATTGCTCTAATACTAATTAAAAGTACAAAGGGGGGGGGGAGGTGAATTGTGGTTTATTAAAAATTAGTCGACTAACAATGATTTTAGTTAACTATACACAGTGCTGAATGAAAGATAACAATAATTAAAAAGTAAATAACATACAACAATTTTATACTGGTTCGGTGCCATTGTGGTACTTACATCCAGTTTTCCTTGGGTCACAAGGGTTCCCTTTAGATCTTGAAAGTATTACAATACAGATGGTTTTGACTCGTTCTCCACCAACGAAAAATGGCAACAGTGAATTCTGAATGTTTGACACAACTCTCTTTTGTGTTCTAATTCTTCCTATCTTTTGAGACACTAATAAACTAAGGATTACAGTGTTTAGGCTAAGAAGTAGAGAGACTTAGAAGACAATGTGTGTAGTTGTGCAAGCCTTCCATTTGATCTTAGCAGTCTTCTTATAGGAGGGGAAAAGGGTCGTTGAGTCTTGACCGAAATTAGAGGCACGAGATCATCAAAGGGATTTGACCCAAGGGGTGCCTCTTCGAATCCTGCTCTTGGGAGAGCGCAGATTCAATTGTGACTTTCCTTGTCACATGCTTGTATTGGGGAGTTATTCAAGCCTTGATTGAGAGCTTATTTTTGGATACAGAATATTTGCTGGCGAAGGATTCCTTGATTAGAAATCTGAACTCCTTTGATTGAGGTCTAATAAATGTGCTGCAATGTAGTCCTTTTTTCTTGTCCATTAATTTAGCAATCATATTATTGGATAGCATCTCATTCTTTCTTTTTTGCTTGTTTCGAATCGTGCAATCCTACAAATTAACATAAGATGGAATTGTCATAATTGAAACTTTGAAACTTAACAAAGCAGATATGATTTCTTGGTCTCCTAGAGGTCTATCTAGCTCAGAAAGTTTAGTAGTGTTGAAAGATTAGTAGTGTTGAAGCTTATAGGACTCTTGTTGATATCTTGCCAATTAGTGGAGATGTGCCTGGTAGAAAAAGCAGAAATATACGGAATTATTTTAAAAGGTGAGATAGATAACTGGATATCCCAAAACTACCAGCAACCTAACGACAACGTACTAAGTACAATTTTATCCAACAATTAGCCAATTAGAACCCAATCACATTAGGACTAGGAAGCAGGGAAATAAGTTGCATGCAAACTGTGGGGTCCACAAACGGGTATTTATAGATACCCTAAGCGAAACTGACTGGCAAGTTTCTGGGAGCAGCAAACAGGGAAACCTTTGTACTTGGGTGCCGAGGTGCGTGTTTATTCTTGTTTTTCCCTTGGAATTCATGTTTTTCCTTTTTTCTTTTATGGGTCAAAGGAAAAAATATTCAAATTTAACCATAGGTTGATTCCCCCTTGCTTTTTAATCAGTCAGATGATCACGATTTATTATATAGGCACAATATGTAGCTCTAACAATCGAATAGTTGTGAACAGTGATTCTGTATTACTTTCAAATACCAATTACCTTTGAATTTTACATGAATTGCCTTTTCTATTTCAAGCATCAATATAATGCAGCGTTATATGCAGTGGCGGAGCCAGAATTTTCATCAAGGGGTGTCAAAATATAAATAATAAAATCAAGGGGAGTCAACGTATAGTAAATATACATAAAATAAAAAAACTTATCTAGCAATATAGTGTAATTTTCCGGCGACCCCTTGGTTCAATGTGGCTCCGCCACTGGGTATATGGTTCCACCTCAGAATGAGCTATGTTTCTTTACTTGCTAACAAAATGAAGCTTTTTTCTGTTTCTTTGCTGGTTAAGTTTTTTATTCAACTTGTTATTTATGGTCTTTTTTAGTCATATACTGTGACTATATTGAAAAAGCATTCTTATTTTCACTGAAACTTGATTTCTCCTTTTCCTTCCTTTTCTCCCTTTATAATGTTGTATGCTGTATGTGCAGGCTACTATGACTGTTGAGTATGATGCGAAGGGAACTGAATCTTGGTTCCTAAAGTTGTAAGATTTTGAGATTTCTCCTTCCCGCCCCCACCCTACATCCGCAGGGAAGACAAAACAATAATGATTCAAACTATATTTGCTCCACAATTTGTATTATTTTGTGGTTTAAACTAATAATAATCTAAGATTTTAAGGTGTGCATCATCTAGTATACTTGCCATATCAAGATTTTGACCTCAGTGCTGCAGTATTACTATTACTGTTTGGTAAGCTAGCGTTACATGACTTGTGGTGTCAAAGTCTACTTATGACGTGACGCCCTCATAGTTTAGGACGAATACTGAATCCTTATTTTCATATTTAAGAAATTAAAGGCATGCAGATTTTCATATGCTTTGCTTAGTTCCCTTGGTCTCTTGATCGTTGCAAAAGACTCAGATGAGAAACATTTTGATGTTGCTTTCTGTTTTTATTACTTACCTTTCCAAAGAAAGTACTGTGATGAGAAGCAAAACGAGATGCACCAGAGGACTATTAAAAATAAACCTCCACCAGCCAGAGAAGTAAATGTTGCTACACTGAATTGGCTTTTTAACTACCTTTGTGCTTTCATGATTTTGAGTCAAAATAGAAATTAAAAGATTATGGGTGTGTTTGGTCTCTTGGAAAATGTTTTCTTGGAAAATAAATGATTTGTTTACTTATTTTTCAGTGTTTGGTTAGGTAATAAAAAATATTTTTGAAAAATATATAATTTAGGCAAACACTATATGAGATGATATGGATAAAGGTGGGAGAAGGTAGTAGGTTGAGGTCTAGGGCCGGAGTGGCAGTGGCTATATTTTGGTGTGGGGGTTTGGGGGTGGTGGTGGTGGTGAATGGGAGTGGGGGTAGGGGGAATAGGGTGGAGAAGGCTGAAAAAGAGTTTTTGAAAATGTTTTTCCTCATTTTGGTAGGAAAGTCATTTTCTCCCATTGGAGTAAAATGAGTTCGTGATTAAAATATTTTCCAAAATATTTAAGCCAACCAAACATGTGAAAATAGCAAAACAATCACCCTAACTTTTTGAATTTAGTTAGTGCAACGCATATGTTTAGAAGAGGAGACGCTTAAGAAATCCCAACTTCAAATGATCTAAACCCCCTAAAGAAGGTGGAATGTAACTAATGATCCTTCCTCTTTCAGCACCGTTTTGGGACAACCATTTATATTAGCATATAAGGGGTGCTTAACATTGAAGAAGGCTATGAAACTTAAGCTTGCCCTTGCTGGAAGTCAGATGGCAAATGCAGGGATGTACATTAAGAAGACAGTGCAAAGAGCCACGGTGGAAAGGTAAATCGTAAACCATTAGCCTGACTTTCCAGATCTCTCAATTGCTATGTACAAACTAAGACCATAGTTTATGGATTTTACAAGTAACAACTTTTTCGGAAAGCAAAATTTGCATTGTGCCTAACTTTTGCAGTTGGTCACTTGGGATTCAAGACACCAAAGACTCGACTAAGATCTCTAGTTTTCGCGAATTCAAAGTACCGAAGCGCAGGAAATGGCATATTTTCAACAAAAAACATATTGAGGTAAATTATAACTACACTTCCTTTTTCAATTTTCAGTTTCAAAGCCCTTAAAATTTTGCAAAGCTTGTGCTTGAAGGATAAAATTTTGAGCTAAAAGTGCCTTCCCATGTAACATTAAGAAATGAATTTCAGCAAGTTTGTAAATCAAATTTTGAGTGTTTTATTTAAGAATATGGGGTCATTCACTTTTTTGCTAGGTCCATGGACAAAGAAAAGTGAAGAAAGAAGTTTTATCGAGAGATTTCGGTATGGAGGAGCTTGAAGCAGAAATGATATCCTCGGGATATGAGGTGAATTATAACTTATGATTACACTTCTTTTGCCAATTTTCTATTCATAGACCATTTTCAAATCTCTTAAAATTTTGGTAAAGCTTATACTTGGAGGATAAAGTTTTTAACTAAAGGTGCTTAACCACGTAAAATTAAGAAAGAAATTTCAGCAGGTACGTAAATCATATACCAATTGTTTTTTTTAAGTATATGGAGTCATTCACTACCTCAAGGTAGGGGTAAGGTCTGCGTACACACTACGCTCCTCAGACCCCACTCGTGAGATTATATTGGTTTTGTTATTGTTGTTGTTGTTGTTGAGTCATTCACTTTTTTGCTAGGCTCGTGGTCAAAAAGAAGTTAAGAACGAAGTTTTAAGGAGATATTTCACTATGAAGGAGCTTGAAGAAGAAATGGCATCCTTGGGATTTGGGGGACCTAACAACCATTTCAAAGATATCATTTTGAAATTAGTTCTCCCTCATACCTTACCGCGGGATTTATCAAGAGAGTAAGTATTCTTATCAAATTAGATTTTTCTGCATACTTGATGAGCTTACTATCAAATGTTTGATTGTTGTTTTAATGAATGAAGGATTAGGCTCCAACCTATAAAAAGCTTAATCATTCACGGACCACCTGGAACAGGAAAAACACTGGTTGCGAGACGCTTAGCGAAAATTCTCAATGCAAAATTAAAGGTTGTAATTTTAAGGGAAGTCCATTATATTTTTTTTTATTGCTGACTTTCTTCTATTTTTTTTTCCTAGGTTGTTAGAGGGCCGGAGATCATAGGCACTCTGGTAGGATCAGGTGAAAAGAATCTGAGAGATGTTTTTGCTCCATCGATTAAAGATTTTGAGCAAATGGGTAAGAGTATGATGTCTCCTGTGTTTTCTATTTCTTCCTCATCCTTTCTTTTCTCTAGATTTGAAAGGTTAGAATTTGGGGTCTACAATAAGATGTTTGTTTCTAGCTACTTTAAATTGTATGATCCGACTCTTGGTTTGTTCAAATGCATATGTATCTCCCTCTAGGCAAATTGGTGGCAGTTGTAGAGCTAATATCAGCTGTACAGTTTGTTTCCATTAGCAATCATTAAAGTGATGTTAGAGATTATAGGAATGAATTAAAATGAAGAGGCTGCACAGGGTGCCAAGTAACACACTGGAAATACATTTTCGGTGACCAATCTTGTATTGGATAAAATATTAGACAAAGACCTAAGCAGCGAATTTATTTCTTCAGCCCATGGGCAGTCTTTGGGTAGAACTTTCTCATTATTAGCTTTTACTGTCTATCAAGGTAAGATAATAATTCTTATGTTGCTGTTTATATAGTAGATATATTTAGTTATTTGATGATACATATTGCTTCATTAGGTGATGAAAGTCCTGTTCATGTAATCATATTTGAAGAAATCGATGCCATCGCAGGGGTAAGCATTTCCTAGTTGCTTAGCTTGATTTCATCTTTTTGTGCTTATTTTAGTGTTTAACTTATAATTTGGCTGTTGACATCAGAAAAGAGGAGTAAACATGGCAACTGATAGGATAGCGAGTCAACTGTCAACATTGGTCGGCTTCAAATCCTTTATGTTTTTCACCTTCCCCAACTCTATGAACGATTTTGCTTCTTAAGTATTATATATGACTAACGAATGGTGGTTTGACGAGACTAGGTTGATGGCGTTAGCAGACAAACCAATCTGTTGCTTGTGGGGACAACTAGTAGGATTGAATTGATTGATGATGGCTTGTTGAGGTATACATTTCTCCAATAATCTCTCTTTATCTTTTAAATTTGGTTTTCATATATTATTCCAAATAGTTTTGAAGTGGAAACTAAAATAGCTTGTCCGATTTACCTGGCCCCTCTGTCCCTCTATATATTCAATATATTTTACTTGACATATCTTGGTGTGATTGTAGACTAGGGCGATTTGGGTTGCGCTTGCGAGTAGATCTACCAGATGAAGATGCACGGTTGAAGATTCTGCAAATCAACTCGAAAAGGATGCAGAGATGGATCTCTTTTGATTCTGACATAGACCTTTCAGCCATAGGTTAGTTCTATATGATGTATCATTATTTTGTGTCCTAAGATTTGGGAACATATGAATATTTAAGATACTGAATAAACGTTTGATGTGCAGCTTCTGCAACACAGGGATTAAGCATAGTTGATATTGAGGGTTTGTTACAGACAGCATTGGAAAATGCATTGTTTCGTAGTTCTGAAGGACGTCACTTCAAGGCGGAGGATATTCAAATTATGAAGGTGGACATTCAAATGGCCCTTAAAGGTTTTGGCAGAGATCTTTGAATAGGTAAGTCATCCTCGGGATATATACATATAGTATATTGAGAGGGCAGTAAATGGAGTTTGAACAAAGATTGGTTATTCCCGAAAGATAATCAAACTAAAAGTAGAAGATTATTAAATGAAAGCTCAATTCCCATCTCTGATCTTACCACTGCAAACTGCTAACTTTCCATCTTGAATCAATTGAATTGGATGAAGTTGATGGTTTTAAGCAATATATATGTATGTTTGAGAAACAAATAGCAAACTAAAATTGAAGAACTAACAAGCTTTTGATATTACTTTTAACTCTAATTCACTTGGTTCATTTGAGTACTCCTTTTGAGTTGATGGAAATATCTGCTTTTGTTCTTTGTATAGTTGAAGATACGTTGTTTGACTGGCACAAATATCTCCAATTAGAATGGATTGAGTCTATAACTATATTAAGAGGGTAAAGTGGGTGCTTGTTTGAAAGGTTGTTGGTGTCTCTTAGGAGAGGTTTGTTTCTCCCGCTTTATTACAACAACAACAACAACCCAGTATAATTCCACTAGTGGGGTCTGAGGAGGGTAGTGTGTACGCACAACTTACTCCTACCCTGGGGTAGAGAAGCTGTTTCCGATAGACCCTCGGCTCCCTCCCTCCAAGAACTCCCCACCTTGCTCTTGGGGTAACTCGAACTCACAACCTCTTGGTTGGAAGTGGAGGGTGCTTTCTCCCGCTTTATTGAGAAACCGAAAGAAACCCGTACAGCACAAACAATATATCAATATTAGTAAATTGGTCTTCTGTGAATAAGACACTGCAGCTGCCAAGGATTACTTTTTCAAGAGGATTTTGTTTTAAATCTGCAATATTAGCTACTATTTGAGTTTGAGGCAGAGAGCAGCCTAATGATAATATATGACAAGTCCATGAAAATTTGGAGAATTTTATAAATTTACTATGTTTGTTTTAAAGTGGTTTTGTCTTGTTACTGAGCAACCAAAGATATCCAGTAGAGTTCTTCTATTTTTCAAATTGATACTTTGTTATCATAAGACTCTTCTAAAATCTGTTTTGTACGCTCAATATGTTTATTTGCAGCACTGGAGATCGAGGTGCTACGGACTGAAAATACAGTCATTCACTAAAGTTAGAGGCTATGCAATACTCTTATCCTGTTTTTAGCTTACAGTTCTTTTGGATTTTAGATTTAAAGTTTTACGTTTCAAAATTCCACGACTTCATTATGTTTCAAGTTTAGATTATTGAAACATCTTTGCGCTGCTACTCAGGTTTTGTTCGTTGCCCATAATGCATGTTGTTCTTCATCTTATTTACACTAGTATGGCTTCCCTTGGTCAAGTTTACTATTTACTGCAACACGAGTGATATATTTTATTCATTCCTTCATTTATTATCTATCATGTTATCATATCTATATTCAACCTCACTCAAATCATTCATCGCCCCTTAATCACCACTTATTCCTATTTACATTGGCATTTGGCAGACTATGCTTTCATTCTCAGGTAGGACCTAATTGCAATCTATTTTACGACGTAAAAACTCAATCTTTAACTGCTGCAATTTTTTTATTATTTGGTAAGCAAATTTTCAAAGGGATATGTACAGCACCAGTTTTAAAAAGCAAGAAGAATTTGGATATCATGCCCCAAGCTCTTGCAACACATCTTGTCTACTCGAAACTACCAGCTACTGACAGATTAAGCATTACATTACATTCTGGAACTAAGTCTCATCTACTACGATATAAATACTGCTATACCGGCATCTTATGAATCTCAATATCTGCAGGAAAGAGATAATTTCATTGACTCAACTATGTGCCTTTTTATAGTACATTCCGAAGGTAAATCTATAATTGTTAAATACGATAGAGATATTCACAAGAGTTTGAGAATGAGTAAAACTAGAACTAAGTAAACAATAATCACAACAAAACAGAGATATTCACGTTGATGAGACTAATTTGTTAGGATTTTGATTATCTTTATCATTGCCCCGCATTATCTAGTTGACTTGTTGGAAGAATTGCCGCTTAGGAAGAGCCTTTGTTAGTGGATCTGCTAATTGTTCACACGACAATTTTTCCCTTGAAAACTTAATCGCGCGCAAAATGAAAGTCAATGGCCATATGCTTCATCCTAATATGGAAAAAAGGATTTTTACAAAGATAAGTGGCACCAATATTGTCGCAACATACAACCAGTAATTTTAACTGGATTAGCGAAAGTTCATGCAGAAGATTAGATAGCCAATTTATTTCTGCAACGGTTGTAGCCCCTATTTTATAGTCTGCTTCAGTGGATGGTTTAGCAACTGTACTTGCTTTTTGGAAGACCAACTAATGGATTAGATCCAAGAAAATTAAGTAGGCTGATGTGGACATGTGATCGTCATAGCTGTCAGCCCAATCGCCAGTCGGCGTCTTGAGAATGTTGTTAGCGATAGAGACGAAGACTTCTTGAAGTGTAAGCCATAGGAAATAGTGTGTTTGAGGTACCTAAGAAGCATTTTGACAGCTTGCCAATGGTTAACTATTGGAGAATGCATGAATTGAGCTAATTTATTTATTGCAAAGCAGATAGCTGGACGAGTTGGTGATAAGTATTGTAAGGCACCAATAGCTCTTCGATATTCTTTGGCATCTGTTGGGGCGGAGCCATCATTGAGAGACAAATCTGATAAGGAAGACAATGGAATGGACGCCCCTTTGGCATCTAACATATTGTGGAAGTCCAGTATATCAAAAATGTACTAGCATTGTGTAAGAATTAATCCACTATTGTGGGGAGTAACCTCTACTCCAAGGAAATAGTGCAGGCAACCAAGATCTTTAAGAGAGAGTCGAGATGCCAACTTCACTATGATAGACTGGACATCATACTTTGAGTTGCATGTGATAATAATATCGTCTACATGAACTTGAAGGAAGAGAAGAGAATAGCTACAACGATATTTGAACAGTGAAGTATCAGAATGAGTATTATTAGAGCCACATGAAAGTAAGTAAGAATGAAGCTCCATGTACCAAGCACGAGGAGCTAGGCGTGGACCATAAATAGCTTTCTTCATGAGCATACATGATCAAGAAAATGAGGATCCACAAAGCCTTGAGGTTGTTTTGTAGAAACTAGTGGATAGGCCAACCTAAGATGGCGTCAATCGATGGAGATAATGACATGATTAGTTGTGTGCTTAGCTACGGGGCTGAATGTGGAGTTGAAGTCGAGGCCTGGTCATTGGGCATATCCTTTAGCGACAAGTCAAGCTTTTTAGCGTTCTATTGTGCCATCAGGATTGTGTTTGATTTTGAAAATCTATTTGCATCCTATGACATGATGAGGAGAGGGAGTACCAAAAACCATGTTTGACTGCACTGCAGAGCATCAAATTCTGCTTGTATTGTAAACACCATTGAGGATGTCGACTAGCTTGACAATATGTACTAGGTGCCAGCAAAAGAGGGATGAGCTTGTTGTAGACAAATTACCAAACACCTCTTTTAGTTTGAAAATATTGTTCATTAACCGTGTCACTGGTCGATTGAGTGATGAAGCATGCTAGTTAGATAGCAAAGTCTGAGATGCAAGTACCGGAAGAGGAAGGGATTATATCGAGTAAGTGATGTACAACCGCCATGACTCATATTAGTTTACTTATTCAATAAAAACGAGTGATATTTCCAATGAAGGAGAACTTAATATTTTATTGTGCACATAATGATTGAAATATTTATTAAACCATTAAGTGAGTAACATCGCGTGCGGCAAGTGGGAGAATGTAAAATATGGCCCACATGTGGTTTATAAATAATTTGGTTTAATAAATATATTTTGTTAAATTAATATTTGGATAAAATTAGGGGAAGTTAATTATGGTTATAACTCCCCACTAACCTACTTTGATGAAAAGTAAAATTAACCGATGGTCCCTCTCTCTGCATGTTAAAAGAAGAACAGCGTAACTCCATCAGATTCTATTCTGAAAAGAACACAGAAAATGTAAAGAGAGAGAAGTACTAATTTTCTGAAGAACAACAACTCTAAAGAAGGCTTCCGCTCAGTATTATCAAGAAAATGCATCATGGATTCAGGTAAGTTTTTTTTATTGAAGTTATTGTATATGTATTTTATGTGAAAATTGTCACGACCCAATTTTACCTATAGGTCGTGATGGCGCCCAACATCACCGCTAGGCAAGCCAACTACTGAATTAAACATGCATTTTTTCTTTTAATAAGTTTTCGAGTAATTAAACTTTCCTTATTTGCAAGATTTAAGAAAATAAAATGTTTAAATAGATAAAATCAAGTAATGGTTCAAACCACAATTCTACTAGTGTGTGTGCCAAGACCTGGTGTCACAAGTACATGAGCATCTAGTAGATTATACAAACTTCTAACCACTGTCTGGATATGAAATTGAAAGAATACAATAATACAAAAGAGAGAGAGACTATAGGGCTGCAGAATGACTCAGGAAGCAGCTCACCACTAGGCCTCGGGATATCGGAGGTACGCGCCGGAAGGACTACATGAAGCACCTGTCTCAGATCCTGCACAAAAGTGCAGCAAGTGTAGCATGAGTACATAAACAACGTGTACCCAGTAAGTATCAAGTCTAATCTTGAAGAAGTAGTGACGAGATGTCGACTTCGACACTCACTATGGGTTAATAATATAAAGAAAAAGATATTTAAATAAACATGGATTATGTGAATAGCAATAATTTCCTTAACAAGCAGAAATAAATAATTCTTTCATAATTGAATAATTTTCAATAAGTCGCTTATCTTCACAAGCTACAATAAAATGTCAAAGCATCGTGTAATTGTTGTTATTAAGCACGATTTATGCTGAGGTAGTACGGCCCGATCCAGAGTGACGTGTACACTGCCGAGGGATGTACAACACGATCCATAAATGCATCTATCTACTGCCAAGGCGTTCGGCCCACTCCACAAGAATAGAAAAATATTTTATAAGCTTTTGACTTAAACATTATTAATGATTTATATCCAAGGTAATAAAATTTTCATTTATTTTTAAAATTTCTCTAACAAGTTCTAATATAATTTAGCCATTTTAATTTAACAAGTATAGTGAAAAATTCTAAATAGTTCATGAATTGGGTCCTAATACTACCCGGGCAATAGTATAATAGTAGCTACGCACGGACTTTCGTCACCATGTACATACGTAGCTCCCACAATTAGAAACAAATATTTATTTAAAATACCCATGGGGTAAATTTTCTCTTACAAGGTTAGACAGGAGACTTACCTCGTCTCAAAGTTCACTTCCCGATCAAAATTCTGCGTTAAAGCCTCTATTGGTGCCGAAAAATCCGAAACTAGCCAAATGTTATATAATTTAATCAATAACTACTCAAAATTTCATAATTTATCTATTAGAGTAATTACCCAACCCAAATTGGTAAAATTCCTAAAATTCACCCCGGTCCCACGTGTTCGGATTCCAAAAATATTTGGAGACAATCATCACCCATAACCTCAAGAACTCAAATATAGAATTTTCATCCCATTACATAACCATTTTCGTGGTTAAAATCTCATTGTTTTTATCAAAACCAAGATTTTTCATTTAAACCCTTGATTTTCATAATATACATATTATAATCTACCCATAATCTATGTATTTAACTCACAATAGGTAGAACTAACTTACCTCCAAGTTCCTAGGTGAACACCCCTCTCAAGAAGTTCTAAAATCGCCCAATAATGGAGAAAATGGGCTAAAAATGACTAAGCCCCATTTTTAAAACATTCTGTCCGGCACAGTAAAATCCTTCTTCGCGAACGCGGTAATTGCCTCGCGTTCGCGAAGGAAAAATTTCCCAGGCATTGAAAACGCCCTTCGCGAACGCGACAGGGGTCTCATGAACGCGAAGTCATACTTGGCCTACCCTTCGCGAACGCGAAGGGTAAAATATGCTGACCCCTCCCAGGCCCCGTCCTTCTATGCGAACGCGAGAAGACCTTCGCGAACATGTAGGCCTGGGATTCCCAAGCTTCGGGAATGCGACCCCATTCCCGCGAATGCGAAGGGTAACTGCCCAGCTCCCCAAATCCTTCATCGCGAACGCGAGAGTCCTTCTACGTTCGTGAAGAAGGAAACCAGAACTGAAAAATAGGATTTTTCCAAAATTGCTCCGGGCAGTCCGAAACTCACCCGAGCCACTCAAGATCCCATTCAAATGTACAATCAAGTCTGTAAACATAACATGGACCTGCTCGGAACTCTCAAAACTCGTAAATCAACAACGAAACCAAGAATCGCACCCCA